GACCTCTCAAAATACGGCTTCTCTATTTCTTACGAACAAATTTTATACAGTATTTGGAGGCCCCAGCCAGATCCCAGTTTGGCACTGGGTTCCTTGATGCCACTGGTGGATGGTCTTGGATCGAACACTCCAAAAGGCAGGCACTGCTTGAGACCTTTTTCCAGGTCTTTAGTCAATTCTGCCACTCTGACAGCAAGCTCATGGATACCTGAAAGGCCATCTATTTTTTGGAGTCACTCAGGAGACCTCCAGAATAAGTTTGTTTTTTCCTCTGAATTCTGCTTGTTTTTCTGTTTTGGGGGGATAGATCCATCTGGAACTGTAGAGGTAAGGGGAGTGGATGTGCTTGAGACACACCCACAGCCCTCAAGGTTTGTGAGGACAACAGTTTGGGGTTGCTGAGGTGGGAGAGGCACATACAGCAAACTCTCATTTTGTGGAGTTCTGGTTGTGGCTGACATGGGAGATCTGTGGATCAAGCATGCCCAGCATGCTCAGGACAGTAGAGAGTTCTGGTCACTGATAAGGCAGGAGGTCTTGGGACCTGGCCTACCCAGCAGGTTTAGGTTTTTTATGTTTCTGCCTTGGTCTTGTCTCCTTCTGTTCTCTGTACCCGTCTGTAATATAGCTCCTCTGAGCCCTGGTTAATTTTGGCAGATTGGAATTGATAAAGTGCTCTAGTCTAAAATTTGGTAAAGAGTAAGGCCACCTGTAGGCTAAGAGTTTAGCCTCAGGTGACCCTCACCCTTCCTTCATCTGAAAGTATTCAAAGGTCAATCCGCATGCTACTGTGCTGTGGTCACAAACTTTGTTTCAGCATGTAGATCTCGGTTATCTGTAAGATTAAGATATTTAGTTTGTTGGCAAAAGTTTTAAGTTTTTCTAACACTGACCATCGTGGTTCTACAGTGCTATGGGCAAGAATATCCCTTGCTGCTGGAATTCCAGAAAATGTATGGCTGATATTCATTTTTGCATTCTTAAAGACCTTTGTGTACATGTGTGTGTGTGTGTGTGTGTGTGTGTGTGTGTATCAGCATGTTCAAGATAAAAACTGTTAGCACTGTAATCAAGTTATCTGGCTTAGCAAAAACATAAATCTTGACAACTAAGCATTTATTTCCTTTCATTGTTAAAATTTTGGGCTAATTATCAGAAATTTAAGTATAATTGTTTATCACTGTCAAAGATATTATCCATTCTATTTGTCCGGAACTGCTTTAGTTTCTCTTAGGAAGGAATCAAGAGAAAAGCTTGGTTTACTTCAGCTCCTCTTGGAATGCCCAAGGAAAAGGGACTACCTCTCCCCTCAACCTGAGGCATGGCCTCTCACCAGGACATGACAAATATAAAATGGGCGTGTTTCTTTTCCTTACAGACAGACACTGAAAGCCTAACTGTAGTGTGGGTGATGTGATTATAATTCCTAAAACCTGCTCCTTGGTATTATTTAAATGCTTTAAATAAGAAGGTTAAAAAGAAAAAAAAAGGTAATCTCTTGTGTAATATAATTTGGTCTCAATATTAGTATATGGAACCATAAACCTTAATTTCTATTTTGCAATTAGATGGATTTTTTTTTGGGGGGGGGGTCCGGTTGTGGGACCTGAACTCTGGGCCTGGACGCTGTCCCTCGGCTCTTTAGTTCAAGGCTAGTGCTCTACCACTTGAGCCACAGTACCACTTCCGGCTTTTTTCTTTTTGCTTATGTGGTGCTGAGGAATCGAACCCAGGGCTTCATGCATGCAAGGCAAGCACTTTACCACTGAGCCACCTTCCCAGCCCCCAGATGGATTTTTTTAAAAAGCAAAATATGGTCTGAGATTCCTTAAGTTTGTTAAGTCTGGACTCTTGGTACAGTGCCGGTCTGTATATAATTCTTACATTAAGAAAAGCTATGTCATTTGAGTTCAAAAGTTTTCTAAGAGTTAACTCAGACTACAGAAAATAAGTTTTAAAATCAGGCTGCAAAAGGTAAATGGTAAGTGTTTCAAGGTTTTCAAAAGGGTTATTTTAAATACAAATTAAAACATAGGAGTGTGAAGCAAAGAGGAGGAGTTAGTAAAGAAATGCTTTGGAAAGGGGATTTAAAATGGCTTACTGGATGAAGGGAATCTGGGAAGTAAGAATTGTCTTGAATGTTTCTTTCAAAGTGGTAAAAGGGGGAAATTAGGACTACCAAAGTTCACTTATAGTTGTTTATTTCAAGGTCTTTTTTGCTATCTTAATATCTATTTCCCAAGGATGTGAGCTGCCATGAATACAGAACCCTTTTCAAAACACCACCAGGTAATCTCTGCTTAAAATGATTTCAATTGATCTACTTGGTGCTTCAATTAAAGGGACTAGACTAATCTCATCTGAGGATCGTGGTTCAATGTCAGCTTGGGCAGAAAAGTCCCTGTGAGACGTTTCAATTAACCAGCAAAATGCTGGAAGTGGCACTGTGGCTCAAAGTAGTAGAGTGCTAGCTTTAAGCAGGAGAGCTCAGGGACATTTCCTAGGTCCTGAGTTCAGGCCAGTGATGGACAAAGAAAATGCCAAGTGGGGTGTTATCCCAGCATCGAGAAGACACTCTTGGGACAAAGCTTGTCCTGGTGACTAGGGAATATCCAGAGGCAGTTGGAAGACACTGCTCAGATAAGAGTTGATATCAGATCCTAAATGTGCTTGGTCCTTCCAAAGTAATCAGAGGTCATAAAAAATAAGCATGTCTACCTAATTGCCTATACCTGTCTACTGTGTAACTGGGAGGGAACTTGCACCCATGCCTATCAGTTATTGGTTATAGCGGGTAGTAAAAAAGCTTTGGTTGTGAAATGGGGGATAGTTTAAATCAAGAATTCCAGCCCCCAGTATCTGAGTCCAGTAATCCCTTGGTAAACTTAAGCTAAGATTTCAGGCCTCTTCTAGGCAGGGCCACACACCTATTCAGCTTGAAGCAATTATAGAAGATGGGTCTTCACCCATCAACTCCCCTAAGATCAAGAGACTGAAGTCATTTTTGGAAGAAGGAACGATAGATTAAAAGGAATAGGCCTGGAAAAGCTGGTAATATGTGCAGGCCCCCTTGAGTGTGGAGACCATACTTGTGAGAGATGGTGTAGGTCCAAGACTCCTATGTCTGCCCAGGAAATTCTGTCCTGATGGGATGCAATATGATTAACAAAAGTTGTCACCCTGATATATTGTCATGGGCACCAAAAAGGAGTTCTGTAATAAAAAGCAGTGAAACCCCCAAACATTTTATTGACTGTTCTTGGCCCCACTCAGAGGAAGCAATCAGAATATTGGGAAATAGATTTCACTAAGTCAGGCCCCTGCCTTAGTTTAAGTTAATAATGCTTTCTTAGGGTCTTTGCAGAACTTGTAGGTAATAAATGGGTCTGAGAGACATTGCTGCTGCCCATCTGGGATCCAGCCTATCCCTTCCAACCTGGAGATTGGTTAAAAAATTTGTCAAGCACAGCCTCACAGGCACCTGGAAGGGACCCTACATCATCATCCTGACCACCTCCACTGTGGTAACAGTAGACAGGGACCCCTGCTTGGCTCCATCAGACGGGGATGATTCCAGATGGAAGGCCATTTTTGATATGTTGAAACTTAAGACTTTTGTTGTCATCCTTTCTGTCAGCTCCTCCCCTGGAGCACTTTCTGTTTGCAAATCTTAGCAAGCCTGACCTGAGAAAGGAGTGCTGGTTGAATTTAAGTTCAAAGCCTCTTGATTCCAAGAGTATCAGTCATATGGAGCCAACTTTGACTGCTAGACTCCTTAAATCACAGGTGGAAACAGCCCAAGCAAAAACTAATGGTAAACTCTGCACAGCCTTAGGATGTTTTTTTGTTAATGAAACAGGTCTAGTATGGGAGAGCCTCTTTTGTAAACCTTGTTAAAAGTAACTTGGTTAATTTCATGGTCCAAGGGCCCAGTACAGCAAAGAAATCAATGATTTGATTCCATGTACATAAAACCAGTGGGGAACAAAATAAGGATATTGGATCTAAGTACTCTCACAGCCATGCTGGCTCTTTCCTGGAGGGAGGGGCCTTTTCACCCACCCCTAAAAAGCCTACAGGTGAGATGAATGGCCTATGTCAGGTTGTTAAGCCCCAGGAAAGTTTTGCTACAGAGAATGCTTGCCCTTGAGCATTTCCCTATTTGGTCTGCTTTTATGTGCATGGGTTTCCAACCCAAACATGTGGTTTTTGTCTTAAAATCTTTGTGCAAACTCTTCTGGGCTGCAGGTCTGTGAGACAGGAGTCCACCTGCAGTTGTGGGCTTTCCAATAAAGACTCCTGATTTGACCTCTCAAAATGTGGCTTCTGTTTCTTGCGAACAAATTCCCATACAACAGTATGTTACAGCTTAGTTAACTGCTGGAGTTTGGATGCTGAATGTGACCAGTTTTCATGTGTTAAAGGCATAGTCCCCAGGGCAGTCCTTCTAGGAGGTTGCAGAACTATGGGGATTTTGTACATGGTTAGATTATTTGGGGCATATCCTTTAAGGGATTCATGGCACTCTGATCTCATTCTGTAAGCCCCAAGTGATGCGATGGATTTTGTACTTCCTTAGCCACTGTAAAGCAGAGGTTTGCTCTGCCACGTATTCTCATTATGATGTGCTGCTTTGCCAAAGCCCAAAAGAAACCCTTTCTCTTCTAAGTGAATGATTTCAGATATTACAGCGACAGAAGCTAATGCAACTTAAGGTTGGAGGATCGGAATCAAAATTCTTTATTTTTCAAGAGAAAAATTTTGTATTAGCTTGCTATAAAAATATTAATTAGAATAATTGGCTGGAAAAACACAGTAGATGTAAAATATAAATTTAAAGAGGTTATTACTGAAGGTAAGGTAAGGTAAAAAGCACCTTCAAAATATTTCAGTTCTCAGGACAAAAGATGGGCACTTCGTCTCATCAGGTTCTTTTGTATATTGTCAAGTATTCTACCCACTTAGATTTGAACTGCTAGAAAATTAGTAACAGTACGCACTTTCTCTGAAATGATTTATTCAGATAATAGAACACAGCCACTCAATATTATGAAACACAGTAACAACATACAGAATAAGGTTGGGGAATTAACTGAATTGTTACTCCATTAACATTAATAAATATTATTAAAGAGGCAATAGAGTTCAAAAAGCTTCACTAGACACTAATTACACATACAAATAACTAAGAGTTCCTATCTAAAGTGTCACTGCTTGATTTTCAGGTTGAAAGATTATAATTATATATTTCCAATATATGAGCAGTAAATGAAAAAGCAACTTAAACCATTTTTTTAAGTGCATAGTATATGATAAGCAGAACTTTATTCTACATCAGCCCATCATCCTCTTGGCTTTAGTGCATGGATCAAAAGCATGCTGAACAGCATCAACACATATAAGTTTTCCACCACTAATGAGGTATAAAGTCAATTATGAATAGAAAGTACATTTTATGGCAAAGAGGATGTAACTATTTTTGGTAGACTTAGAATTTCCCAGCTTTGCTACTACTTGGCTACTTGAGCTACTTAAGTCTGCTTCAGGTTCTTCATTTTTCTAATGAAAAAGCATTGAACTATATTTTTAATATACTGAAGCCTAGTATTTTCCTGACTAATCAGAAGTTTGTCACCTTTGATTTTCAAAACTAGCTTTCAAAGCTTCAACAAGTTTCTTCTAACCTATGATTATTCTTTTCAAAACTGTCCAAATACTAATAGCTCCATTAAAACAACAACTTGGCATGGATTTATAAAGACCAAAACAAAGTTCATTTGTTGGTGATGACCATCATGTCAACACAGAGATTACCATCTCAGTGCATATTCAATACAATACATACCACCAATAATAAAGGCTCTGTGCCTTTACCTACATCCACAACCTACATTGTTTTTAATTAAACATTCCTTGCCTGTATAAGTTCCCTACCTTCATATAAAGGGAAAATCCTGACAAGAGAGACTTGTATTTTTCAGACAACAAATATTTAAATAAGTTATTTACACAGTTTAGAATAGCCACGTTCTTTGTGGTCTTCCATAAGGCAAAACATTATGTATTTCAAAAGGTAGCTATCCATTTACTTGTATGCTTCCTAAAAACAGTTTATGGTCTAACAATTTTAAAATCAAACTCAGTTTGACTTGCATGTACAGATCAGAGGATAAGACTACCACTGTCCTTTTTCTAATTCACCACCATACTCAAAACTTTGCACATTCCAATTCACATGATCAGAGCACTTAGCAAGTAATGAATGGCAAGCAGTAAAATCTATAATTCATGCCAGAACACAGAAGTTACACAGTGAGCACATATACATACGTAACTGTACAAAAGTTGGGAATACTGTTAATTTCAAATAAACAATGAAATGACCAAAGTGGGACTTGCATGCCAATGAGTCCCATTCAGTCAAAATCACGATTTGTAAGAACAAGTGGTGCCACCAGGGTCCACACATAGAGCACGATGCCAATCCAGCTAGAAGAGATTTTCACCCAGACAGCCGTCCACTGACTTTTCATCGCACGGGAAGGCTCATACCTAAAATTTGACCCAAAACAAAAGGACAAAGACAGAAGGATTGGATAATTAGTCATCAAGCCACTAAACTTATTTAGAAGTGTTCTTTGTACAAAGTATGTGAGACAGACTTGTTACATTTGCTTCACTTTTTCATGCTAATTTATGAAGATTAAAATCAATAATTTCCTTTACTGGACTATTTAGGTCTTTGAAATAGATCTTTTGCACAATACTGAAGCACTTTATGTTTAGAAATAAGATGTGATCTATGGATAAAGTGCTACTACTTTTCAGAATGCATGTAAGAATCAACATGAAATATATCCCTTACTTCTTATACTTTCTCAGACTTAACCTCCAGGAAGGAAATATATTCCAATTTGCTGAATTTTGTGTTAATAAAAATAAATATTTTTTGGGGGGGTCTGGTCATGGGGCCTGAACTCTGGGCCTGGGCACTGTCCCTCAGTTCTTCAGCTCAAGGCTAGCGCTCTACCACTTGAGCCACAGCTCCACTTCCGGCTTTTTTTCTTTTAGCCTATGTAGTGCTGAGGAATCGAACCCAGGGCCTCATGCATGCAAGGCAAGCGCTCTACCACTGAGCCAACTTCCCAGCCCAAAAATGTTATTTTTTTTTTAATCTAAATTCTTCAATTCACTATTATCTGACAGCTCAAACTGAATTGTTGAGAACTATCTGGATTCTTATGGGCTAATATAATGCACTACAGGAAGTTTTAAATATATTCTCAACAATAATAAAACTCAATAAAAGCTGCTTTCAAAAGGAGCATAGATTGTGAAAGGTCATTTTACACATTATACATTAAAAATTATTTAAAACAGGCTGGGAATGTGGCTTAGTGGTAGAGTGCTTGCCTAGTATGCAGGAAGCCTGGGTTTGATTCCTCAGTACAACATAAACAGACAAAGCTGGAAGTGGCTCTGTGGCTCAAGTGGTAGTGTGCTAGCCTTTTGCAAAAGAAGTGATTGGCAAAATAAATAAACAAATTACTTAAAACATAATTGCTTAGACTGAATAGTTCAATTAGAATCTTTTTCTAATTATGTTTTTATTATCTGTTAAGCAGCTGTATAAAGGAGGAACCATTCAACATTCAGTTCATAGGTGCAATATATGTTCATGGATGTCCTCTGTCACCACTCTCCCTCATCTGACCTCTCCCCTCAATTGTCTTAATTTCACAGAACATGTGTTGACTATTATGGCTACATTCTCTATTTTCTTCATTTATCACTATAGTATCTTTCAGTAATAACTCAGACAAAATCAGAAGGGGCAAAAGCAAAAAACTCTAAATTGCTATTTTCATCAGAAGAAATTTTTAACTATGGCTCAACAAGGTTTGAAGAAACAAGTTTTGTGAAATTATAAAACTCCATCTACATTAACATACAACATCTTTCTGATCTTTTAATGATACACTTCAAATGAAATAAAGAAGGTATCTTATTGTAGTATATTGGGATTAGGTTTATAAAACTGAAAATAAAAACACTTTTTTTTGGATCAACTAACACTGGCCTAAATATTCACTTAGCTATACATTATGAAATATATCAGAAGATTTTTTAAGCTCTTCATACCGAAATCAGTTTCACACACCTGTAATCCCAGCTACTCAGAAGCCTGGGACCCCGAAATCCAGTCTCAGCAGAAGTCTTTGAAACTCTATGTCAAAAAATAACTAGCAAAAACTAGCTAGAGGTATGGCTCAAGTGGGAGTGTCAGTTGAGCGAAGTCTAGAAAGCTCAAATCCCTGAGTTTAAGACTGAGAACCACAAAATAACAACAAAAAATACTCCCTATCAAATTATGCTTTATATAACAGAATCATGAAAAGGCATCCAAATTCTCATACTCCAAGTTTTCATGAAATGTAAGTACCAGGGCTGGGAAGGTGGCTCAGTGGTAGAATGCTTGCTTTGCATGCATGAGACCCTGGGTTCGATTCTTCAGCACACATAAGCAGAAAAAGCCAGAAGTGGCTCTGTGGCTCAAATGGTAGAGCACTACTTTTAGCTGAAGAGCTGAGGGACAGTGCCCAGGCCCAGAGTTCAGGCCCTATGACCAACAACAACAACAACAAAAAAATAGAAGTACCTGTACCAGTTGGTAAGGGTCATCATGATATAAAGTGAAGCCAGGAAAAGCATGAAGTGAAAGAAGGAGTAACTGTATGTGACACCATCCCTTTCATTATCTATAGCTCTGTGAACATCATCGCCATCCTCTAATGATCCATCACTTCTGGCTCCATCTTCAATTAATGTTGATTCATCACTTGTTAGAGTCAGTTTGTTAACCTGACTATTGTTTGAGGTACGGATGCTGAATGAAAGAGAGAAAGAGATTTTTTTCAAAAAGTTCTTAAGTCAATAGTTAAGCCTGCTTGTTAAATTTTTTTCATGCATTTTCTTACCTTGAATAAAACACACACAACAAAAAGAGGATTAGTCCTATAATCCCTTGAGCATGCCACCACTGGACCGACTGACCTTCCTTTGGGGCAGAGCTTGTGGTATTGAAACCAATTATGCTTAGTAGACTTGGGTTACAATTTGTTTCTGTAAAGTAAGTTAAAGTCAAAATGTTAAAATAACAAGATTTTTACTTTTAGAGCATTTTAATTCTATAACTTACAGCTAGCTTAAAGTTTTGCTCAAAAAGGTAAAACTATAATAAAATTCTTGAGCAGAATTTGTATTACTAATAATGAAGCCTTAGTGTTATTTTTTTCTGCCAAGTTTTTATACTATCAATTTAAAGCAGCACTTAAAAAAGTTTAATCACTAGTTTCAATCTATGTAAGAGCTAAAATGAATACATCATGGATCAGAAAATTCATATAGCATTTCAAGCCAGGTACTGGTGGCTCACGCCTGTAATCCTAGCTACTCAGGAGGCTGAGATCTGAGGATCGCAGTTCAAAGCCAGCCCGGGCAGGAGAGACCGT